GCTACTTGGAAGGTTGAGGTGGAAGGATCGCCGGAGCCCAGCGGGTCGAGGCCGCGGTGGCCGGGAGCGGCCACTGCCCTCCAGTCTGGGCGATGGAGTGAGACTCCAACTCAAAAAAAAAAGAACTTGAAGATCCTCCGAGCTCAGGGCCTGTCGCTGTCTCCATCAGCTCGGACTGTGTCCGAGTACAGACACTCGGGCCCGGCCCAGCCCTCCTGGGCCCAAACGCCTGCGTTCACGGGTGAGCACTTCAGCTCTGATGGGAGGCAGCCTGGGGAGGGACCCAGGAGACAGGAGTCCTTGACTTGGTCTCACTGTGTTGCCCAGGCTGGCCTCGAACTCCTGGCCTCAAGCAATCCTCCTGCCTTGGCCTCCCAAACCGCTAGGATTACACGTGTGAACCACCGCACCCGGCCTAATGCCCATCCTCGAATTTTTCAGGGCGCCGCGTCTCTGAGCAGTACTCAGGCTGCTGGGCCTCCCTCGGGCCAGCGGAGGTGGGAGGACCCAGCGATCTGTGCCCTCCGAGCCCTGCAAGTCATTCTGACAGACGCTCACGCTTGACAGTCCCAGAGTAGCCCAGCCGATTCTGCCCCGGGGGACACCAGGCGATCTCAGTCGCCATATCGGGCAGGGAGTGGGGTGGTGCCCAGGACGCCTCACCCCAGAGACTGACCCAGCCCCGGTGTCCACGGGGCCCAGGGCGTCACTTTCTGCTGGGTCCAGCCCTCCCGTGGCCACCCTTCCACCTTTTCCCTCCCGGGACACAGCCAGCTTGTTCCCAGGGACTGGCCATCCTGCTGTTCCTTCTCCCAGTACCACGTGACTTCTCCCCGGTGGTCAGGATGGGTCGGAGGGCTGACCTCCCTGTCCCCCAGACGATGGGAACGTGTCTGGTCTGGCTGTCCGCCTCGCCGGGACCCCAGCTGTGGGCCGAGGACGTGATCTCCCAGGTGTCAGGGCCTGGCAGTCCCAGGGAGGGGTCTCCGTGCCCCGGGAGGGGCAGGGGCTGCACTTACCAGCCCGAAGCAGCCCTGCAGCTGGGCCAGCGCGTGCCTGGCTTGGAACTGGCCGTGCTGCAGGTGGCTCACGGCGTGCTCGAACGCCCGTCGGCGGAAGCCGGGCGCCAGGTCGCCCAGACGGACAAAGTAGCTGTCCCGGTCGGCCGAGAACACCTTGGGCCCGGGCTGGGAGGCGGCCAGCTGAGCTGGAAGGGGAGGCGCGGGCTTGGTCTGGAAGCCCCTTGGGACACCGGGGACCAGGCTTCCCCCAAGTCAAGCCCACGGGGAGCTGCACCCGCCAGAGACCCCGCTCGGGGTGGCACCTCTTACCTTGTTCCTCCGCGGTCATGGGGTTGAAGATTTCCCCCAGACCCTCCAGCTCACCCCGCAGCGGCGCGAGACCCGAGGTGGCCCCGTGGGTGAGCGCGGCCACGTCTGACCCAAGGCCCTCGGTGGCAGCTGGGGTTTCCCGGGCGAGCGCCAGGCCTGCACCGAGCGAGGCTGGGGGGCTGGGGACCCCCAAGGACAGGGCCTCTTGGGAGCCCAGGCCAGTGGTTTCCCCCCTGTCGTCCGTGGTCCCGCGGCCGGTGGGTCTGCCCCAGACAGCGTCCTGCGTGCCAGGCACCCAGTCCTGGAAGGTGCTGAGACCAGCACGGACAGCCCCTGTGGCCCCATCGCCTGCGCCCGTGAGCCTGGGGGCCACGATGTCTCGGGTGCCGGTCAGCACGGTCTTGGTGGTGTCCACACCAGTCTGGACGGCCCCTCTGGCCACATTGATGGCAGCGGTCACCCCGCTGCCGAGGGTGTTCTTGGTGCCCATTAGGACAGTCTTGGTGGTGTCCACGCCAGTCTGGACAGTCCCTTTGGCCACGTCCATGGCCCCCATGAGCCCGGTGGACACAGTGTCTTTACTACCCAGGACCACAGACTTGCTGGTGTCCAGGCCCCCCTGGACGGCCCCTTTGGCCACGTTCATGGCACCGGTCACCCCACTGCAGACGGTGTCCTTGGTGCCGGTCAGCATGGCCTTGGTGGTGTCCATGCCAGTCTGGATGGTTCCTTTGGCCATGTTCATGGCCCCGGTCACCCCGCTGCCGAGGGTGTTCTTGGTGCCCGTTAGGACCATCTTGGTGGTGTCCACACCGGTCTGGACAGTCCCCTTGGCCATGTTCATGGCTCCCGTGACCCCAGTAGCGACTGTGTCTTTGGTGCCCGTCAGCACCGTCTTGGCCGTGTCCACACCAGTCTGGACAGTCCCTTTGGCCACGTTCACAGCCCCCATGAGCCCAGTGGACACCGTGTCTTTCGTACCCACGACCACAGTCTTGGTGGTGTCCAGGCCGCCCTGGACGGCCCCTTTGGCCACGTTCACGGCACCGGACATTCCACTGCAGACAGTGTCCTTGGTGCCCGTTAGGACAGTCTTGGTGGTGTCCAGGCCAGTCTGGACGGTTCCTTTGGCCACGTTCACGGCCCCCGTGAGCCCACTGGACACTGTGTCCTTGGTGCCCGTTAGGACAGCTTTGGTGGTGTCCAGGCCAGCCTGGACGGTTCCTTTGGCCACGTTCACGGCCCCCGTGAGCCCACTGGACACTGTGTCTTTGGTGCCGGTCAGCACGGTCTTGGTGGTGTCCAGGCCGGTCTGGACAGTCCCCTTGGCCACGTTCACAGCCCCCGTGACCCCAGTAGCGACTGTGTCCTTGGTGCCGGCCAGCACGGTCTTGGCGGTGTCCACGCCCGTCTGGATGGTTCCTTTGGCCATGTTCATGGCACCGGTCACCCCGCTGCCGAGGGTGTTCTTGGTGCCCGTTAGGACAGTCTTGGTGGTGTCCAGGCCAGTCTGGACGGTTCCTTTGGCCATGTTCATGGCCCCTGTGAGCCCAGTAGTAACTGTGTCCTTGGTGCCTGTCAGCACCGTCTTGGCCGTGTCCACACCAGTCTGGACAGTTCCTTTGGCCACATTCGCTGCCCCTGTGAGTCCGGTGCACACCGTGTCTTTCGTACCCATGACCACAGTCTTGGTGGTGTCCAGGCCGCCCTGGACGGCTCCTTTGGCCACGTTCACGGCACCGGACATTCCACCGCAGACGGTGTCCTTGGTGCCCGTTAGGACAGCTTTGGTGGTGTCCAGGCCAGACTGGACGGTTCCTTTGGCCACGTTCACGGCCCCCGTGAGCCCACTGGACACTGTGTCTTTGGTGCCAGTCAGCACGGTCTTGGTGGTATCCATGCCGGTCTGGACAGTCCCCTTGGCCATGTTCACAGCCCCCGTGACCCCAGTAGCGACCGTGTCCTTGGTGCCGGTCAGCACGGTCTTGGCGGTGTCCACGCCCGTCTGGATGGTTCCTTTGGCCATGTTCATGGCCCCGGTCACCCCGCTGCCGAGGGTGTTCTTGGTGCCTGTTAGGACAGTCTTAGTGGTGTCCAGGCCAGTCTGGACGGTTCCTTTGGCCACGTTCACGGCCCCCGTGAGCCCACTGGACACTGTGTCCTTGGTGCCGGTCAGCACGGTCTTGGTGGTGTCCAGGCCCCCCTGGACGGCCCCTTTGGCCACGTTCACGGCACCGGACATTCCACTGCAGACGGTGTCCTTGGTGCCCGTTAGGACAGTCTTGGTGGTGTCCAGGCCAGTCTGGACGGTTCCTTTGGCCACGTTCACAGCCCCTGTGAGCCCAGAGGACACTGTGTCCTTGGCGCCGGTCAGCACGGTCTTGGTGGTGTCGAGGCCCCCCTGGACGGCCCCTTTGGCCACATTCATGGCACTGGTCACCCCACCGCAGACGGTGTCCTTGGTGCCTGTGGCGACATTTTGGGTCGTGTTCAACCCAGTCTGCACGGCCCCCTTGGCCACGTTCACAGCCCCCGTGACCCCAGTAGCGACTGTGTCCTTGGCGCCGGTCAGCACGGTCTTGGTGGTGTCCACGCCCATCTGGATGGTCCCTTTGGCCACATTCACTGCCCCCGTGAGCCCAGTGGACACCGTGTCCTTGGTGCCAGTGACAACAGCTTTCGAGGCATCCAGACCCCCTTGGACGACCCCCTTGGCCACGCCCATGGCGCCCATGACCCCGCTGGACACCGCCTCCTTGGTGCCTGTGAGTGCGGACCGGGTGGTGTCCAGGCTGCCCTGGACCACGCCCCTAGCTGCGTCCGCCACGTTGGCCAGCCCCGAGGAGAGGGCGTCCTGGGTCCGGGTCATCTTGGAGCATGCCAGGTCTTTGGCCCCGGACACCGTCTGCTGAGAAAAGATATGGGGGTCACCAGAGGAACCAGGATGCACCCTCCACCCAGATGCGCCCACCCAGCCCCCTCGCGAGCCTCGGGGGAGGGACTGTGGCCACCCAAAAGCCCCACCACCCCCCAAACGACAGCTTCTGGCTGGGCGTAGAGGTGCGGGCCTGTCATCCCGGCACTTTGGGAGGCCGAGGTGGGAGGATGGCTTGAGCCCAGGAGTTGGAGACCAGACTGGGCAACATAGCAAGACCCCATCTCTACAAAACAAAACAAAAAAGAGCTGGGCATGGTGGCCCATGCCCGTAGTGGAGGCTGAGGCAGGAGGATCTCCTGAGCCCAGGAGGTTGAGGCTGTGGCGAGCTGTGATCGTGCCCACTGCACTCCAGCCTGGGAGGCCGAGGGAGACCCTGACTCAAAAAATAAATAGGCTTCTTCCTCGCCAACCCCGTGACCTGCTTCAGCCGCAAAAGGCCCCCCGGCTTTCCGGGACGAAGACCTAGCATGCTCTGCATCTCGGGGCGCCCCAGGGGCCCCTCCCGCTCAATCCAACCCGACTCGGTGGCGCTGGGAACAGCCGGTCCCCGACGCCCCTCGAATCCTCGCCAAGGTCGCAAGGCCTGGACGCTCAACAAGTCGGGGGACGGCACCGTTTTGTGTATCCCGCTTATTCTTGACTCGTGGCAATTTGGGACACCAGGAGACCAAATCATTTATTATTATTATTTTTATTTTTTGAGTTGGAGTCTCACTCGGTCGCCCAGACCGGAGTGCAGTGGCCGCTCCCGGCCACCGCAGCCTCGACCCA